AGCAATTGCCCGTATCTTACTGCAATGCTGTCCCACTATATCATTGCCTTCCTGTCTATTCATTCAATCAAGCAACCTTAATTGATGGGTTGAACTAAATGGAGCTTCAGCTATGATTCATTAGGTAGACAATCCTTTAATGAAAGGTGAATGTTGGTGAGAATAAAAAAAAGAATGATGTATGGTTTACCTGCTTGGCAATAGATCTAAAACGATTTTGAGACAGAACATTGCGGCTCCACTTCTAGGGTAGAACTTTCCAAATTTGATTTCAATATAGAATTGAGAATGAGAATGGACTACATTCTGGTACCCCATGGTACCGAAAAGACCTCGAACGTCAGACGTCAGGGCAATCTCTAACAACTAATATGTACACAGCCATACGGATATAACATTAATTAAACAGAGCAAAAATTGATAAGTCTACTTTAAAGGCATATAACATTAATAAACTATTGAAGAAATGACACAAACAGATAATTTAATCGTATATATGTCGTTGCACTCATGATGACTTGACTGTAAAATATTCCATTTAATCAATTAATCGTAATCAATACCATTATCTTATCTTATTATCTGATATCCTTGTCATAACCACAGGAGAGTCGTAAATACGAGGATTTTAATGGAGTGTATCCGGTCGGAGGCAGAGAAGAAACTGGTAAAGAATGCAAGTTAAAAAGTCGATTTCGAATAATTAATATTTGTTTAAATATATATGTTCGTTCAGTCTGTCTGTAAAACAAGTTCATTTCAGTGATTTTGTAAAATCCAGTCAACATCAGTGATTTTATACATTCCATAATCAATCAGTAATCATACAATAAAATTGAGAATGGAAATGAGGAATATGTCAAAGAGACAACAACCCGACCAAAGAGCAGACAACAGCCAAAAAACTCCTGAAATTAAAGGAATTATGCATTTGTTAGGTTAAAACTGACTGTAACATATATAAAGCTGAACAAAAACATACAAAAATCAAACAATTCCTTTGCCCTAATCTCCCTCCAAAAACAAAAACTTTGGAAAAATGTAAAGAAAACGATGACATGATTATAGCTTAGTACGGAAGACGTTCAAAAACAGCACCATACCATGTGCAAATTTTGCAAATTCTGTCGCTTAATGTATACCTCATTTGTGTCTGAAAAGTCTTTTTGATATAATACCGAATGGAATGATTGCCAATGAGAATACAGGTATCCGCCACCCCACTCCTCAATAAAAAGAAGTTAATCGTGCGACCTACAATTACGTTAAAGATCCTTTCAATCAAATAAGCTGTAAATTAGAGGCAGCAGAGGTTTAACTATATTCAAACCTCATTAATACTGACCAGTTGCCTCTACACGGTATAACCTTGGTAATTAAGAGAGAACAAATCATACGCGAGACAATAAACAGGCTTTTATAAATTAATACAAGAAGAAAACATCGACAACTAGTGAATATCATGCACTTTATTTTAGATATCTGTATATTTAGTATGCCAAAAAGTAATATAAAACAAGGAAATGTGGTATGATTGATAATGAGGCAAATATTCAACAAAGTCAAAATAACGTGGATTTAAGCAAGTACACGTCATCGTATGGCATTCAACACTGAGCAGAAACACATACCGTATACTCAGCTATAAATGCACTGACATACGAAAATATGAAAAATTCGAAAGAAAAAAACATCTACCTGATTTATGACAAAACAAAGATCGGCCAAACCTCTTATTTATTTGACAATCATTCATAGTTTCAATTCATTCTAACATAGCAAGTTATAAGATTGATTATGTCGAAACGTGTACTACTTCATTGACGAAAGATATGTTGAATTAAACTTTTAACACATAAATGTAGAAAAAGTTATTACCTTCGTTCATGTCTGCAAAGGCAAGGGAAATAGAATTATTCAGAAATGCAAACTTCAAAATATTTGATTAATCCCTTTTCGCAAAATACATATCAAATATTTTTTTTCAAGTTTTGAACTATTTTGAAATATCTAACAAATAATTATTGATTTATTTTAACTCTTTGCTAAGGTGGATATAAGAGGTTTGAATTAGCCATGATGGTTGATATCCTTAGCGGTGTATTAAGTGGTGCAGAATTTGGAACAAATTGCAAAGGAGCGGGAAATCTAGTACTGTATTTACAGACCTTTGGTTTTAACATGTTTGTTTATAAGTCAATAATATTGTTCTCCTCTTTATGTGTTTACAAAAGGTAAACTATAATGTATAGAATTATAGAAGAGAACATTTGGTTTAAAACACATTGTCAATACTAATTGTTCCTCCGCCATTTATATTTTTTCTGCTGTATATATAGTAAACGAATGATTTGTGGTTAACCAAATTTCTTCTTTATTTCATTTTTAATCAAAATAACAAACTTAATTCGCAACATAAAACTATAAACTTTGTTCATGTAGAGACAAATATGCTTTCAATTCTCAAGGTAAAACCCCAGTTACGAAATATGATAAACTCTGTTAACGTTAACTATATCAAATTTGTCTCAAGTTACGTCACTTTTTTTTTACTGTTGAAATAATGTGATTGTGAAGAATGTAACTGTAGTACAATTATTAGGGATACATTCTGTATATTTATATTTTTTCAATTTATTTTTTCCACCAAGGTTTAGGTTTTATAGTAATTGATCCTAATCAATTTGAAGATGGTTTTACAAACAGAATGCAAAGTTTAATAGATGCTTGCAGAAATCAGCCACCGGTATGTTATTAGACTTCATTCCATCACAAAAATGTAGAGACATATAAGTATATGTTTGCAGTGTTCATATGTTTTAAAATGTAAAACTTTCTCTCTATTTTATTATAGAAACTATATAATTGAAAACAAAATAATGCTGTGATTAGCATGGTAAGGTGTGAGTTCCTCTGTTGTTTTTTTTTATTATTTAAAGATTCCCAAAAAATATATATACTGATATAAAAAGCTTGTCTTGAAATTCAATATTTCTATGTAGCTATGAATGAAAAATGTTAAGACTTTTGCATGAAATTACAAAGACGTTTAAACAGTTTCTACGAATCTATGTTAGTAAGGTGCGACAGAAACTGGTCAGGAGAAATCGCCGTTTGTATTTATATTTATGCAGAACTATAACATGAAAAAGCGAATCCTTAACATTGAAATATCAATATAATACTATTGTCTTCAAAGGCTGACGTCGGTCGTCCAGTATTGGTTCCAGGAGACCCTGAAAGACAACACATGGAATTGTGTAATAAACTTGGTGGTATACCATATACAAAAAATCATATACAGATTAGTGACAACACCAATAACTGCTTCTGACGAAGCAAACAAAACAAAAGTTACCCTACAACAAACGTTACTACAAAATGAACATTTATATGTAACCTATGGTACACAGTACAGTGATTTTCTAAAATTAGAACAAAAAGATATTCGGAATAAGGATCAATCAACTTTGTCGCTATCTGTCCGCCACTATTGTGCTTTATACATAAATAAATCTAAAATTTTGATGTCACTAGGGTAAATATATGATGCAACAAATCAAAAGCAACTTTTATGACGCCATTAGTTCGAGGGTCACAAAATATTTTGAAGAAGTGTCACCGAAATCCCGATAAGGCCAATGAAACAAGAAGTTCAGAAAAAAGACAATCAGAGGAGATACAGGCCAACTCTGACAACATTCCAGACTTTGAATAAGCCCACATTCCAGACTTTAAATAAGCACTTATCTCTAAATGGGATTATACTAGTTTTGATTGCACTCAATCCTCTCACGTTTGGCCCAGTGTTATTATAACCGAAACAGATGGGCGAGAATATCATACTTATACATCCCTCGGATTTCAAATATTTGGCTTTGAGCGTTCCTGATGAAGGTAAATCCAGAAAAGCACTTCGGACGCATGAAATTATTAAACGTGTTGTTTTCAATTTTTTACATCACTGGGTCGATACCTCTGCTGGTGGACTATCAGTCCCCGAGGGTATCATCAGCTCAGTAGTCAGTACTTCGGACGAATGACATGATTTATAACAAACCTTTCTAAAATTGTCCGTTTATAAATTTTGAAATTATAAAGAAACTAAGGTTTCAACTCCCTCAGGCAAAGTTGACCTTAGATGAATTTGGCTCTTTGTTTTATGTATTTTTGTCATATAGCTCTTCAACTGTTTCGGTATTTATACATCCCTCGGATTTCAAATGTTTGGCTTTGAGCGTTCCTGATGAAGGTAAATCCAGAAAAGCGCTTCGGACGCATGAAATTATTAAACGTGTTGTTTTCAATTTTTTACATCACTGGGTCGATACTTCTGCTGGTGGACTATCAGTCCCCGAGGGTATCATCAGTTCAGTAGTCAGTACTTCGGACGCATGAAATTATTAAACGTTTTGTTTTCAATTTTTTAACAGTTATAAAAATGCAAATGTTAAAAAAAGTTGTATAACTTTTGAAATTGTATTCCACAAAAAGTAAATAGGAAAAAGATCATTTATGCTAGTTTTGAAGTTTTAATGACAAGACTAGATTTATAAAGTGTTTGAAGTAGCAACATATGTAAGTTATTCTAATTGTGCTGTTGTGTTTTGTCTTTTTAAGATAGTATTGCAAAACGATATAAAATCACACCACTACTTTAGAATATAGGAGATATATCAGTAATACAAAAAGAGCTGCAAAATGATAATAATAAATATTATTTTGCACACCTAATGTTTATGATTCTCTTATAAAAGCGACCATAATTCATAATTTGAAATTAACAGCTTATGAGTTTAAATGTCCCTTTGGTGTCTTTTGCCTCTCAAAACAAGACAGGGCAGATTTCAGTTTAATTCCAAAATTATGCTTTTGAAGCAAACCATGCTATGGACAGGAATGGATTACACAATATACTGGAATGAAAAAAAAACAAGTAGTAATATAACATTGGCTTAGGTTTTAGGTAAGGACGTTCCTGGGAAAGTTAAATTCAGAAAATCGTTTAGGAAGCACTTTATAAAGCGTTATTATATTTAAAAAAACGAATTCACATAAAACAGTTTCAGACAGATATTTTCAAAAGTCCGAAAGTTTATGAAACAATAAATAAAGCATTTGATCTCATCTGATTTTGTATCAAACTTAGCATTCTGTTTGTCTTGTTTTAATCTTTTAAATTTTCCCCTTGAACTCCTGTAAATTTGTTTATCACACATCATTTCAGTGTTGACGTTTGAGTCCACGATTGATATATTTTCATATAAAGTATCGATTCATGATTAGCGATATCACTTTAAATATCCATTACAGAATATCAAACGTATTCAAATATTTTTCAGCTCCTTTCATTGTTCGATATACGATACTGGTGAATGATCAATGCATACGACAACTGTGAAAACTTTATTCATTGAGCAAAGTGTTTGTTTCAAAGCTCTTCAGTTTTAATTGTTTCATGGCTCTTTTATTTTGGGCCCAATAAATTGAGTTTAATTTTTTCAGAAACACTCAAGCCTTCACCCAGTGAATCTGTCGAATTGTTTTGTTCTTCTGTACGCACAGGGCTCCATAACACGGTGGGCTTCAGAGAAGAACGCAATTTCTGAAATAATAACATAATTATAGCTTAAAATTATTGCACACATATATCTATAAGGCCTTTAGTGTCCATAGGTAAAAACTAGCGTAATTATTTGGTCCTTACAAATATGATGGCGAGGTTCAATTGTGTAATAAACTCTCAAAATGTGTTTTAGTTGTTACCCAAGTTATACAATATAATAATAGACTTTCAATAAGCTTAATACGGTTTTTGAAGCAACAGAGACAGGGTGAGAATCTCCTTTGCATGCATCATTCGCCATGCGTCGTCCGCCACACGAAGACACAGTATTCGTTGAAGTGCACATCTGGTATACAAGTTTGAACCTTTTAAAGTAAGTTAAATGATTTTCTCTTAAATTCTTCAAGTTAGCATAAATATCAAATTAGACAAGTATTTACACTGGATGTGATATATACTCACTTCTGAGAGAGATCTTCCCTCTGCCTTCCGAATGGCAATGATAGCGAAAACTATAATAGGTACTATAGGAGATACGGATATAAGTATTCCAATAACGGCTGCATATCCTGGATATACATAACTCCCATACGCTGGTCTTTTATATCCAGCAAATGTCGATATAACTAATACCTAGAAAGAAATTAACAAAACAATATGATTCTGGTGAATCAACAATTTATCCATTATTTACGTAAGCACTTTGAAATTTGACGACGTGTGTCATATGTGAGAGGGTATGGGGGTTGGAGTTTCCTACACAACTATTTCTGTGCTTACAACCGCTGGGATGATGCCACTGCTGGTGGAGGTTTCCTCCCCGAGGTATCACCAGCCCAGTAGTCAACACTTCTGTGTTGACATGCATGAATTATCATTGATATGGTCATAATTATAAATTAACTGTTTACAAAACATAGAATTTTACTAAATCCTATGGATCTTCTTCCCCAGGAATAGATTACCTTAGATGTATTTGGCAAAACCGTTCGGAATTTTGGCCCTTAATACTCTTCAACTTCGTACTTTATTTGGTCTTTTTTTACTTTTTGATTCGAGCGTATTTGGCGAGTCTTTTCTAGACGAAACGCGTGTCTGGCATACAAAATGTTAATCCTGGTATCTATGATGAGTAATTACTATGCACTATTTATTCATGCAATCATTTATGTATTTGGATTACGGGAATGTTAAATGTACATACATTATTGATTAAAACTTGATTTAAAGTAAGATACTTTTCTTCAATATCAAAATAAAACATAATATACTTTAGACACAGTACTCACCAATAGTATTACAGGAGTAACAACTGCTATACAAATTCTAAAAAAGGCAGGTATTCGTTTACCTATCATCAGGTGAAGGTCTTGTGATAGACGCTCGAGCCCTGAAGAGTAATTAATGTTTCTCTACTTATTTTGATTAGGAATATTTAATGCAAATTTACTTCCAAAATATCACTTATAGTAAGCTTAAAATATGTAGTAAAGCAATTTAATCCGCTTCATTCAGACTCCAAAGTCAGGAACTAATAATTAAGAAGTTTTCTTGAGTTGCTGTCTGCCGTATTGTTAAGCATACGTCAGGCCTTTGGTTTCTCGTTAGAATTGTTTGTCATGCCGGTATCAGTTTACTATACGTTATGGTTTTCTCATTGCTTTATGTCTAGCTGTGGCCTATAGAGTTGCCTACATCCAAGTCCTTTTGTTTTTGGTGGATAATTCTCTTAATGACAATCATACCACATCTCTTTATTCCTTTAGAAAATGACATTTTGAGGTAGGTATCGTTTTAATGATGCACCAGCAGCAATATGATACGTAAGGATCTTATCGTTAGAAAGTTTTGAAAAACCAAATTGGCAGGTCAAGCAATGACAACTGGGTAACATGTTTAAAAATTCAGCTAGTTGTTGTAAAACACTCAAAGTACACAAATGAAGCTGTCATACCGTGAATTGTAGTAAAGTTAGGACGACATTTTGTAAAAAGCTCTTGTGTGATAAAAATTCAGGGATAATTGGTCCTTCCTTCTTTTCGATCAAGACTGCATTGCAGAACTAATGCTGAACAATTCTTTAAAAAGATTATTTAACTTTCACAAGCTGATTTAGTTTATAAAATATCAGTTAAAGGCTAGACAGTAATTGAAATTCATATGCAAACTTGATAGGTGATCATTTATTTTTCATAACACGTGGCTATTTGGAATGTATATGTAAGAAACTAAACATAATGAATCAGCATGTATTTAAGCACAAAGGATGTGATTAACCTTCAAATTGCAATATGTAAATTACAATACCCACCATATATCCATCCAAATATTAAGCATTCCAAAATACCAATGATTGGTCGTGAAAAGGCAGCAATATACCAATCGATCAGTTGGAAAATATATATTCCTCCCTAAAAAGAAGGCAGAAATTAAGCCTCAGTTTGTGTGGAGTTCGTGTTTCTCAATCTTTAGTTTTCTGCGGAATTTCTTGTTACTTAGTATTTGTTAATTGTCTTATCATCCTTTTCGTTACTTATGATGTTTCATTGCCCCCTTATTATCTTTTCTCTTGATTCATCAGTTCAGAAATATACCATGAAATGTCAGTGATACGAATGTACATGTAATATACTCGTTTTATATATCCATTAATTTTTTTTAAAACATGGCCACTTTCAACCTGCTAAAGCGTCAGCTTTTGACAAATATTTGTTTTTGAATCTACCCTCCTGGCTGTTTTTCAGTTCGAACCTGATCGATATATGTGCTTAAACACATTATCAACATTTCCTTTTTTTAAATATCATATCGATATTAAGTAAGAAAATGCTTATCTTTTCTTCTATTTGCTTTCTGTCAATATCGTTTACTGGTATTTGATGCATTTGTCTTGCAGTATGTTTTTACAATATGAATTTATTAAAACAATCGAGTTTATATAAGATAGGAACACACCTGGAAGCAGAATATAATTCCAAGCACAAAACACAACAAACAAAACAGGAATGTTATAGCGCTTCTCCGTCTACGTAGTCTCGGAAAGCTATCCGTCAATACACCAACAGCAGATTCGCAAATGGCAAACTAAAATTATAGATAAATATAACATATAGCCTCTCTTTTTGAGAGTGCAACATTCCCTTAATATATAACACACCGGTAACTGGCTCAATTATAGCGATTTGAATTTTTGATAATTTGTAACCTTTTATATGTTTGGTTTTCTAAATTTTGTTCTCAGACATAAATCATGTATAGAAACATGTGTTTTGCGTATGAAAAAACAGCCAATACTACCATTAGTATTGTACTGCTAATAGTGAATTTGAATCTCCCATGATACTACCACTCAGTGATTCGATTTTGGCTTAAATTATGTTATTGTGACAACAGTTGCAAACTCTTAGGTTAAAATAAACCCGAGATGAGTTTGCTGTTCTTTATATTTCCATTTGGTTTTCATGCTCTTAAAAGTTTTCTTTTTCTTTCTTTCTTAACATTTTCTTTCGAGCGTACCATGTAAATATTTATCCATCGTTACGTGATATGCGCAGGGAATCATACTTAAAGTAGGTTTTTAATGTTTGCACCATTTAAAAATAAATCTTTGAATGATCCTTAGTAGCACAAAAACATTTTTTTACAACAGATCAACCCAAAAAAAGTATTCTAACAATTGGCATACACACAAGATCATGTTTTTTGTTCGTTTTCTGTAACAATTCCTTACCTGACTATCCAAACCAACAGATAAAAGCATTATGAAAAAGAGACATGACCAAACATTCTGACCTGGTAGATGTGCTAGTGCCTCCGGATACGCCATAAAACCTATGCCTGGTCCTAAATAGTCATGAAATATTATTAGTACACTGTATGCAATTAAAGTTTTTGCCCGTCACATAAGCAGGAAAAGTACATTGCCCTATATATGAATTATACGCAGATTTTAAAAATATTTCATTTTCTGATACAGTTTTTCATAATTATTGTGTGATGCAAAATTCTGTGATTTTAAAGATTCCCTATGAATAGTTTGATAGTGACATATAATTTACATTGCAGCGTCAATATGGTGTTGTTTTCAGACAAGTTTAGTTGGATATCAAAGAGACGACAACGCCGTAGTTAATACCACAGCTCAATCTCTTTGAATATACTGTCAATCTCTTTGAATATACTGTCACAGTGACTACGCCGTAGTTAATATCACAGCTCAATCTCTTTGAATATATTGTCACAGTGACTATCAATCAATACGATTAAAACTTTTACAAAACCGTTGATTAGATATACTGATTAATAGAGATGCGGAAGGAAATGCAAAACACTACTGATTATTATGCATATTATACTAGAAATATTTTGTTCAAATTTGGTGGAAAAGAATGCAAATAGTGCAGCAATTAAACACACACAACCATTGATTAAACCAAAATACAAAGATACAGCGCGTTTATTGCTGTTCTTTATCGAAAAAATACCGTGAGGTCTTCAATGTCAACAAAAAGGAAAAGCTAACCTCTCACAGTAAAATCCTTACTAACCTAGCAACGATTAGAGAGGATTTTTGTTCTAGAGGTCAATAACACTGTAGACAAACCACACGTTGTTTATAAAAAAATCAACCGGTCGGAGAAAGTTTAAATCGGTTTAGAATTAGAAACACATATATTCACACACCTGATTTAACTATTTTGTCAATAGGCAGTCCAAACTTTGTAGCCATGAATCCTAGGACAGTAAATATGACCAGTCCACAATATATACTTGTTCCTTCACTTGTAAACGACAACAGCATAGAATCCCTTAAATTGAATAAGGGGAAAACATAACTTAATGTTTAATAGTAAAAATGTTTATTATATAAAACAAGAATGTGTCCATAGTACACGGATGCCCCACACGCTCTATCATATTCTATGTTCAGTGGACCATGAAATTGGGGTCAAAACTCTAATTTGTCATTAATATTAGAAAGGTCATATCATAGGGAACATGTGTACTAAGTTTCAACTTCAACTTCATCAAAAACTACCTTGACCAAAAACTTTACCCAAAAACTTTAACCTGAAGCGGGACAGACGGACGAACGGACGAACAAACGAACGGACGAACGGACAAACGAACGGACGCACAGACCAAAAAACATAATGCCCCTAAGTTGGGCATAAAAATACTTTAACTATGGAAAACAATATTTACAAATTAACATATATCATTTTATTTAAAGGAAACTACTTCAAACAACTTGAAAATAATATTTCAATTTTGTTTTTCCAATCCCATTACTTTGCAGGCGCGTATATATACCCAGGATTTGACGTAAGGGGGAGCGATCCTCCGAATAAAGAGTTAGAGAACCATATTTCGTCAAAAATGGTTGTAATTTTACCTATAGATACCTTTTTCTGTTTTAATTTTAAAAGGGGGCTGCGACCTAGTTTGAATCCGCGCCTGCTTTAAATAAATTATTTTTTTGTTTTCATTAAGGTATAATTCCGGACAATAAATATTATTTGATGCGTCTTTCCATGCGATTTGTTTGCCATAATTTATTCTAGGCTTGTAGCAGTTTACCGCGGGTGTCACATGTGAAGCAGGATCTTCTTACCCTTCCGGAGCACCTGAGATTACCCCCAGTTTTTGGTGGGGTTCGTGTTGCTCAGTTTTTAGTTTTCTATGTTGTGTTTTGTGTACTGTTGTTTGTCTGTTTGTCTTTTTTCTTTTTAGTCATGGCGTCGTTAGTTTATTTTTGACTTATGAGTTTGAATGTGCCTTTGGTAATTTCGCCACTCTTTGAATGTCTTTTTTATTCAAATGTGCGGAGTTTTTCGTTAGATTTTTATTTTCGTGTTTGTCTCTTGTTCATATTTCATATTTTATTACCATTTACGTAATTAATCGAAGTCTTTTTATTCAACAAAATAAGCACCAAAACAAATGTACTTATCCTTTTTATTTGCATCCTATTAATACTACTAGCTGTGTATATTGTATGCGTAGTATTCCGAATATGTTTTTATATTTTCGAGTTCACCTGAATGAAGTGAAACCCCCGGGAAAAATATTATTGCGACATTAAACGTTAAAACATCTTACAAAATTCCAGTCGTCAATTAAGTAAGCAATAAGCATGTTTTTTTTTTCGCCATCGAACACCAATCATAATATCAATGGACAAACACACATAGCGAATTATTAAAGTGCAACATAAATAAATTAAGAATTGAATATTCGAGACATGACTATTCCATATCTCTAAAACTTCTTAATTATATATTACAACTTGGCAAAAAATAAAGTAGAAATCAATAGTTAAAAAAATTATGACGCTTCTTTGTTTAGCGGGTTTTGGTTGAAAATAAAATTATTTTTTTCAAATGGAGTTGTGTTATTTTATTTACCTTAAACAGTTGTTGTCAAATTTATTGAAACTAGCGAGAGAAATAAGGAGACCAGTCCCAGTTCCTAACGAAAAAAACACTTGTAAGCCAGCTTCAATCCAAATCTGAAATAGTGAGAAAAAACATTTGTAAGCCTGTTTTGATTCAAATCTGAAATAGTCTGAGAAAAAAAGCACTTGTCAGCCAACTTCAATCCATATCTGAAATAGAGAGGAAAAAACACTATTAAACCAGCTTCAATCTAAATCTGAAATAGGGAGAAAAAAACACATTGTAAGCCAGGTTTAATCCAAATCTTAAATGGTGAGAGAAAAAAACTTGGAAGCCAGCTTCAATCTAAATCAGATATATATATAATGAAAAAGCACTTGTAAGTTTAAGCGAGCTATAATGCCAATCTGAAATAGTCAAATTGATTGTTTGTGTATTTGTAAGTTTAAATGCTTTCATTTTGATAAAATATTGAAGTGGAAAAATGAATTAAGTATCATATATACGCATCGATTAATAATTAGATCAAGTTTCAAATGATTAAATTCGACATAACTGTATTTGTATTAATGAAAAAATAAGACGATACCAAGGGGACAAAAATATAAAAGCATGAGTCGAAGCAGGACAACCAACACCACCATGTCAAAGAAGGAAGTATGATAGGAGCCATTATTTTCCCGCTGGAATTGCACAATTAGTTAATTTATTCAAGCCTTTCAAAACTATGTTAATTTTATAGATACATACACAGGTTAATATAATCTGAACACTGTAGTGCAGAAAGGTCATCTATGATGTCACTATGACGACATAAACATGTAAAAATTATCGTATTGGACGTACATTTTTTTTATTGTAAAATGCCCATTTCACGCATAGTTTTTGGTCAAAATATATATGAACAACTGTTACAGCTTTACCAAAAAAGATATTTTACACACATAAACTTCTTTATAAAATGCATTTTGCAGCACAAAATATTTTTGGGTGAAGCTGTTGATGATATCTAAATAGTAATGACAAGATTTCAAAATGAGGCTATTTTGGCAGTTTTTGTTGTTTTGCACTAAATGTAAACGTTTGAAGCTCTAATGCCCAGATGTACGACAAAATTCAAAAATTAATATGAACGTTGATGTCCGACAGATGACGACTGTCATATATATTTGGAAGATTTATAGTACTTGATGATTGTTGCTTCTTTATAAAAAAAATAAGAAAACAATTGGACACATAACAATTCATTTGCAGTACACTTAAACAAAGATAAAACAACACGCAGTCATTCAAACGTGTTGAATTGATGTTTTCAGTGGGGATAAGAAATTGATGTTCAACTTGTTGCATTCGTCATGTTACTCGTGTTTGAGATACAGCAATGACGCCACCATGGACCATATTTGTAAATCTTTCTAAGGAACCATGTCAAATAAGAATTGTGGTAGTATTTTTAATTCAAATGTGCATTTCACATTTCACAAACTGGAAAAAAAATATTGAAAGAGATGCATGTATTTATTCAAAAGCATTTATTTTTTCGGCTTCATAGGTTTTGTTCTAATGATTAGAAATATCAGTCTATGTACAAAATATTTAAAAGGTTTTTTGTGGTCATGATGTTGTCTGTTTTTATAGGATTTTTGAAAAAGCACAAAAAAAAGTAGCAAAAACACAAAAGACACAAAGTACTGATCTGAGAGTACTCGCTGTTACTGCAAGCTAGTTCAACGTTAATATCAACTAATGTAAATATCATGTATCTAAAACTAAAATATCAATCAGTACACATCAAACATCCAATGGATTAAGTATAAAAACGACACAAACAGTCAGACAAAACATGACCTTGTGCAATTCCAAAATGTAGGTATTGACAGATTCTAGAACAGTGGTGAAGGTACATATGTGTATTACAATAAAATTTAGTTGGGTTTTTAGTCTTCTCTCTACCTCTTTCTTCACAATGCTATCGTATTGAGTGTCAAGCAAAACAAAAATCGGATTGATTTTTTTTGTAGTCTACTTCATATTAGGGTGATATGAAAAGTCAATTTAAAGTTAATTGAGCTGTAGATAACTATGATTTTTAAATAAAAAGCTTTTTCTTCTGTATAGAACTCCATCCACGTTCCGAAATAGTAATACAAGAGTCTATTATAATGCATTATAACATCTAGAAAAGAGTTCCGCCCAGTAAGCTGAAATGGACCGTCTTATACCTACATTGAGGTGCTGCCTTTTGTTCCGAGTTGAAATGGTAGCTGTTACTTCTGGATAAAGAACAACAATAAAAGCGTTGTTCTTTCAATTTTATTTGAGTCAATTGAGTGAATGGGTTTTATATATCGAATTGAAACAATATGACGACCTTTTCGTTATTAGAATCATTCTGTTGTATATCAGTTATTGCGCTTCCATACTTCAGTACTGTCGCATGTTGGCTTTTCTAATACTCATCAGAAATGAAATTTGATGTAGCTGATGCGAGTTGCAACAATTTCACGCTACATGTATACATTCAGTGATTTTCCCAAATTTCATACAAAAAGAGATAGATGAGACGAGAAGTCTCTCTCTCTCTTTCTCTTTAATTTTAAAGTTCATGCACATCTATTTTTTATTATCTAAAGCTATTGAAGTTGAAATATGAATATATAATATATATGATTGCCTTATTACATACATTTAAAAGTTTAGGCCAATTCTGTTTCGTTTGTACATTTTTAAGTACATGTACTCCGAATATCATTTTTAGAACACGGATGTTTGTGAACCCATGCACTTTTAAATTTTAAGCACGACAAACAATTTCTAAAACGATGAACAAATATAATACTCCTTCAGAAATATAATATCCATGCAATGAAATAAAATTTTATGTTTAGCATCATTGACCTTAATCATGTTGGCTTGTATAGATATCTAATAGCATACGAACGCACGACTCACCATTTATAACGATACATTTGTTTTATGTTGCTTTAGGAAAAATCACTCATGTGCTCCGGAAGGGTAGTCAGTTCCTGTCCCTCATGTGACACCCGTCGTATTGTTTATGCATGTACAAATCCAGTGAAAAATCTCATTCGGTGATATCACAACCGATGAAAAGAGAGGACGGGATTATGGTTACAATTTGAACATATCTGTGGTCATCATAATGTGCTTTGTCGCATATTTTTAAGAGCTGAACATTAAATTTAACGACAAAAAATATCAATCAGAAGTTTTTTTCACCGATCAAAATAGTTTGATCTTCAAAGTTGGGAATCAGAATATTTTTCTCCCGCTCTCGCAGAGCGAAATGGTTGTTCCAATGTTATTTTGTTCATACTTACACTAATTTCTAAAAGTTTACTAAAATCTGGATTCAGATATGTCATAACTCCGTAAAGAGAACCATCAAGTGTCAATCCTCTGATGAATATAACTGTCAGTAAAATATACGGTAATAATGCTGTTACGTACACAACCTTTTAAAATAACATATATATAATGTAACTTAGATATACACTTTTTCTCCATATAACTCATATTAAAAGATATTTTCAAAATTGCCTTAAAATGATCGACTATATGCAAATTACGTCCAACTTAACGTAGTGCTTTTAATATATAACTTATTGAAAATGTTTCAAACCTTTATAGATTTATTTGTATTTTTTTCAAAATGAACATGGCTTTTTATTGCTTATATTATATATTTACATGTTAAAACGTTCACCGGCACTCTTATCAATATACTAATAAGTATAAATTTAGTCTTTCACATGTATAGGTTAAAACAAAACCATTACTATATGCATGCAGAATTTTTGGTGACCTTCTGCTGTTGTCTGTTCTATGGTCGGGTTGTTGTCTCTTTGACACATTCCCCATTTCCATTCTCAATTTTATTAGAAGTAACAATGTATACATGTAGTAAAGGTCAGAACTAAATCAATGGACATACGATAGAAAGTAATGTTTACTAACCTTTCCTATTGATTTGATCCCTTTTATTATGCATAGTCCTACAATAACCCATGCACCAAGCAAGCACAACAATAAACGCCAGTTCAAATTACCTAAGTCTTCTAAACCTGATGACATTTGCAGTACATTGTTTCTGTAACGAAGTAAATCGGTTCTTTCAGAAATACATGATATTTTTTTAGACTAATCAGTATATAGCATTTGCATATTTAGTGTAGTGATACGAAGTAAGTACGGAACGGATTGAGCTCTGCGCCGGAGATTGTAGAGACACATGTTTTATTGCGGAAAGTTACCTTGTGAACGTAGCTTGGTAAACATCCGACTTATTGTATATAAAAATAAGGAGATGTGATACGGTTGCCAAAGATACAATTATCCATCAGAGACCAAAGGACAAAAATAAAAAAACAGTGTTTTATTTTCAATAACAGAAATGACTATCGGCGTATGTAGAACTCATGTTGGGTTTTTTCCCGGAACAATAACTTAAGAGAGAATAAAATTAAATCAACACCAAAAGAAGGGCTCATTTTGACATAAATGTTTTGCAACTCTATAACTTCAAGAGTCCTTAAATTACATGAACCCGAAGGAAGGATCTATTAGGGCTTGAGAACTTACTGCCAAAAGTCTTCCTGTGCAGTAATCCATTCGGAACTGTTATTCGCTATAAACTCCATGTTTGTGGTATCTTCATAAACCTGTAAACTAATGTTCATACTGTGCCCCGTTATGTTATAAATATTCTTCAAGAACCCGTGATCCACTACACAATTAGGACTATTCCAGTAGTTGTCACAAGTTGTCCATGGTAACGGATTCAGAAAAGAGTTCCCGATGTAATACAAAGTCCATGCAATGATCATGTTGTAATAGATACTAAATACAAATATAGGAATCATCATACCAACACCTATTCCTGCAAAATAAAAATGTCTTATTCCAGTTCAGAGATAAAACTATTTAAGTTTGTTACATACATAGATTTTTTTGTATACAAATGACGATTTTATAGGAAAAAACAATGAGTGTGTGCATCTTCAAAGACACACCAACCCAAAAGCGCAAATTAACAGAACAAGCTCTGCATCTCATCAAGGCTAATCTTTCAACTGATATTTATAGTTCGTTCTTATGTTGTACTGTTACACCACTGTCCCAGGTTAGGGGGAGGGTTTAACATGTTTAACCCCGCCACATTCTGTATGTATGTGCCTGTCCCAAGTCAGGAGCCTGTAATTCACTGGTTGTCGTTTGTTTAAGTGTTACATATTTGTTTTTCGTTCATTTTTTGTACATGAATTAGGCCGTTAGTTTTCTCGTTTGAATTGTTTTACATTGTCATTTCGGGGCCTTCTATAGCTGACTGTGCGGTATGGGCTTTGCTCATTGTTGAAGGCCGTACGGTGACCTATAGTTGTTAATTTCTGTGTCATTTGGTCTCTTGTGGAGAGTTGTCTCATTGGCAATCATACCACATCTTCTTTTTTTATATAAACCAATTTTAAACAATTGAACAATTAAAATTATTGTATTTTTATTTTGACCGGTTAATTAAGAGAAAAGGAGAACATGATTGATCTGTTGTTTCTGTCTACGGAATAATTAGAGATGTGCAAATCCTATATACAGAGCGATGCTTCACTTTCTTAAATGTTGAAATATTTTTTTTCTTCAGTTATGTCGTTTTCAACTTTGCTTAAACATGATTGTTACATAGCGAAATTTTCTGTATCCAATTAACCTAGATTTAGGTTTTTAATATTTTTTATTTATAAATGATAGTATTCATATCAATTCAGTAAAGTAATGCATATTTATTAAGATAACACTCTCAAGCATTTTGTGCACGACGATTAAATAACAGGAGTAAACGCGTTGCCCCTTGCTTTGGGTTTGTCAAGTGCGTAGGAAATTAAACATATTTTTGACATATTTGTTATCTGAACTGCCTAAATGATTTCTTTTGAAATCATATAATTCCAAAAAAAATTGTGTTTCTTCGGGTAATTCAAATTTCCTCGCATATATCTATATATTGAACAAACTGACAGAAAATGGTATTTAACTTTAATAAAAACAATTTATGAAAATTTGCATATACGATTTACACAGGAATAGTGAGGTTACAACCAACTTTAATATTGCACAGTCGTGTTCCACTACCACACTTAGTTAATAGATACACATCACGGCTGTCATTCGGTACATCGAGAAAAATGATCGTGAAAGAATACCTAACGGTGGTCAAGCATTGCGATCGGATCGTGAAAGATTTGGTATCGGATCGTGAATGTAATTAATTGTATTTTTACTTCAAAATTTGAGAAAACCTGCTGTATCTTCAAAACGCGGAATAAATCCAGAAAAAAAATTATGTCTGTCATAATGATTCAACTTTCTCAATAATACTGTGCATTAAGATTAAGAAAATATGCAGTACTTTATGAGAAAACACAAAAGGCGAAACACAAGTCTACGGGATTCATTAAAAAAAAACACGTTTTGTACCTACATGTATAATGGTCACATTCCAGTATATAATGATATATTTGAAACTGAATCTCTGGTGTGTCAGATAGCACAGTAGAATAAAAAAAAAATTCATTGAAACTGTTCATTTTGGTTTTGTAAACATTGAATTTTGTTAATTTTTCATCAAAATTGGTCGTGAAAGATAGGGCAACGCATTTTCTTGATCGTGAAAGTAAAGGTGTGACCAGACGGGCGCAGGACGTTTGCGCTTTTTTACCTGTAACACTAAAGGACTTATGCGCTTCAAACACTATGAACATTTGCGCTTTAAACTTTGATATACCTGTACAAAATTGACAAGACATTTGAGCTTTTTACCTATAACAGTTTACCAGTAATCTTTAAAAATTTACCATAGCCATGGAAAGATGTACATATTTGTTTTGAAAGTTCTTCCGAATTAACGACAAAATCAGAAAAAAATATTCAGGTAAACTAGACGTATTATAAAAAAATATAGTATACGTTTCTAGGTAAACGATAAAGAAAACGAACCTTTTATGGATGGAACATTTAAATTTTGACCGAATTCAGTTAGCTTTTTTAATTAGTGAATTTAAAATTGAAAACTATATTCCTCTTGTGTCCATTCTGTTGCATGAAAAGTCCGAGGAACTGCACCATCATAGTTGATCCAAGATTGTTTCAATTTGTGGAGATCGAAATTTTATTTTCAAACCACTCAAATGTCCCGCGCCGAACCAGACTTGATAATCAGAAAACAATATTTTGTTAACCAATTGATATATACCAGTCAAATAAAGAAACGATACAAGGCAATGTATTTTCCACTATCTAATGAAATTGGATACACTATTCCAAGGTGAATAATTGCCCAATTCGTCTAATATTTACAGAGTGTTATTTTTTTTTATCAAAACCATTGATTTAAGGCAAAACGCGATTTTTTTTTTTTTTTGCAATTTTTGTTATTTCAAAAATCGTTTTTATTTCACCCAAAAATTCAAAAATCGATATTAGAACTAAAAACTTTAAACTTAAACATAGTCTGCTTAAAATTTTGAATGCCTTTGCAAATATTTTTATACTTAATTCTCATCTTCGAAATTAAGTGCCGATTGTTGTCATCATTTTCCGCGAAATAAATTTGCCCCCTGTGTTAAATAATACGGTATTTTCTCACTTTCCAATTTGGTCAGATTCTTTCAATCATATGCATTTGCTTTGCAAAAGAATGTTTTTCATTGGATAATTTAACAGTTTTTTCCTATTTATTATATTTTATGATAAATTGGAGTTCAAACTTGTGTATCGTTACTTTTGATGACTAGTATTCTTGCAACTAGTTGAAGCGTGTTATTATTTTAATAACATTAATGCTTTCATTTTTTTATTTCAACACTTTTTCCAAGTTATTAAATTAACTAAAAACGTGTCTAAAAAGGTAGATTTACTAGATAAAAGAGCCTTCAGGAGCGTAAATTGTCGTAAAGTAAAAGTATATATGTATCCATAATGTTTAATGCACCCGCCGCGGAAATATTGCATGTGTACGCATTTTTTTTTTGGGGGGGGGAGGGGGGGTGAAAGGGTTGTTAAAAAGTAAAATCACAAAAATACTGAACTCCAAGGAAAATTCAAAAAGGAAAGTCCCTAATCAAATGGCATAATCAAAAGCTCAAACACATCAAACGAATGGATAACAACTGTCATATTCCTGACTTGGTACAGGCATTTTCTTATGTAGAAAATGGTGGATTGGACCTGGTTTTATCGCTAGTTACTTTCAGATATAAGGAGTGTCGTTCGTGCGTATATAGTATGACAATATTAGCTCATTTATTGCTTATTTCGTGGCTGCGCTGACATTAACTTAAACGGTACCATGATAACGTTATTTTTACTTGATTGTTTGATCAGCCTGTTCACAATAGCTACCTACATGTCGTTGTTATCAACTTAGTGGGAAAATTACCAATCAACGTACCTCGACTGTGCCTAATGCCCAGCTTAATCTGTAATTTAGCCGATTAAGTTCTTTTCTCAATCTTAAATTTGTATAAGAAATCAAAACTTAAGAAAAACGGACAAATAAAATGTTATTGCTATAAGGTACCTAGTCGGTGTGGTATTATACATAAAAGATAATCAGATCCAATGGCATTGAACGATTATAGACCTATTCACCAACAAAAGAGAACCGGAATTAGTCTGGCAAATTCAGTATTTGCTATACCAATTAAAATTATAAATTATCCTAAAATTAAATAAATATTTGAACGTTTTCGTAGCATCAGATCTTTCACGATCCTTTTCACGATCTTCAAAAAGCGGTATGCGATCTTTCACGATCTGAAAAATCATTTTTTTGAAAATATTTCATAGTTTGCAAAATTTCTGATTATTCTAACACAAATTAATTTTAAGAACCATTTGAATCATTTAAATGGAATGACATTTTACAAAGAAAAGTTGTTTAGCCATTCGAAGTATGAAAAAAAAATTGTTTGTTTACATATTTATTGTCATTGAAATGTCGAGGAGTAATCTTCCTTTTGTAGTTTTGTAAAAACGGTGTACTTTTAAATCCGAACGACAATGAGTTAGTGTTAATGGGTCATCCAAATTTAATGCGATTTTGATGATATCTACAACTACATGTAGATATCCATGTATGTAGCTTAATCCAAGATCAAATTCGGATCACGCTTTTTAAACACATGATAAATACGTAAGCATGTTTTAGATTATTGGAATACAAATTGGTAAAAACGATTATGAATTAGTTTGAACCCTATATTTCTGATAGCCTAGACCCGAGCCAACCATAATATCAAAAAGAAACAAATGTTATTTTAGGGTCCCATAAAACTGTTTTATATGGTTCATTAAAAGAGGACAAATAAACAAATGGTAAATTAATGAAAAAAACACATAATAAACAGCGCCTGGTTGTGATTAATAGCCTATCCGGTCGATATCGCTCGTGGTAAAATGTTGGCATGAAGGGCCAATCCGTGGTAAACATCGATATAAATTCAAGCCCCCATGAATTATTTGTAAGCTTGTTTCCGCTGATACACATAATTAATGACGAAAGATTTATTAGAGATATTGTCTTTTTGTCAGATTTCTCTCTATTATTCTAAAGTATGGCATTGCTCTTACGTCTGCTAGGGAAAGAGGAAATAAATGTGCTTACCTGTATCCATTGGTAAATTTACCTTTGAATAGAGGACATACTTCCCAAACATGAAGAAACCCTTTGCCACTGAACTGTCCAATTGTGGTCTCCAGGAACAATAATGGTAGTCCACAAAGAATCAAGAAAAACAGAAACGGAATTAAAAATGCTCCTAAAACAAAAAAATGATGTTCTTTAGTAAAAAAAACACTATTTATTGTAATAAACAAGTTAGTTTTGAGTAAAATTCTGAGATGTCGTATTTATATGGGTTATTTTTTAACTTGATCTAGATTTCGTTCTTTTCCCATTTCAAAAACGTATATCCATACATTCCCTCTTTTTCAATTTCTGTTCAATATCTACAATTTGGCAAAGTATAAAAAAAAATTCTATCTGAGGAAAAATTTAGTGATCCACCTTAAAAATCTTGAACATCATACAAATTGCAAACCGAACATCGTTTGTAGAAAAATGAAAATTATTTAATTCTATAATTATAAAAATTATACAAATTTAGTGTTTACAATAGACGGGGGTTTATTGTTCATCACTAAAGAAGCAACACGATACAACTTCTGACTGTAGTTTATAGCACTGCATGATTTAAACTACCTCTTTTCATTGATCCCAGTTTGTGCATACATAAATAGCTTTCTTATACAAAATCTTTCTTGAGTCATTCTTTTGTTCCAGGACCAAACTGTGTTGTGATCAATGATGATGAAAGTCAGTAGGTTCAGATCTGCCTTAATGTTGTCAGAAGATCTTAAATGTCGATTGAAAGGAAGATATATATCTATATATTAAAATATATAAATATGAATTGGATTTTTTTTTTGGGGGGGGGGGGGGGGTAAAAAATCAAGACTAAAAAGTGACTTCCTTTGATAAAAGTATACAATTTTATCACCAAGATGTTTTCATCATGTTTTACTTACCTCCTCCGTTTCTCATGCAAATGTACGGAAAACGCCACAGATTTCCTAATCCAACAAGATATCCCACCATTGACAAAATATATTCCACTTTTTTGCTCCATTCTCCCCTTTCCAGACGATTTTTTTCAAAGTCGTTGCTGCTGTTAGATAAATTCCTCATTTTTAAATGAAATATAAAGTTTTTCGTCGAATAAAATTCTCGTACAAAATGAAACTTTGTGACATTGAATAGTCATGTATGGTTGGCTGAATTATATTTTTTATGTGAACTGAACATCTAGTCAAGGTTGTGTTTAAATTTCATGCATGAGAATGTTAGTTTTTCACTTATACTTTAATCGACCATATTTTTTTTCATTTTAATACACCCTTTATGTTTATGCCCAGTTTCGAAACACCTTTTATTGTAACTTCTATTTATATATTATTCATATTTAACTAAATGTCCAAAATTAATAGGGTGTACCATAAAATGAAATGACTCTGTGTGAGCTTGATTTTTAACACCGTCAAAACTTCAACGCCATACATATGGTTATGTGAATAAAAATATATGAATCGATATACGAGTGTATCTCGTCTGGATAGGATCTTAATGCAATTGAATTTTCTAGTTGATTATAGATTTTAGCACAATTCTTCGTTAGTGACAATAAAGATTTGAAGTGACATATTTGGTTATGAGATAAATAATTTTTTGATAGATCATTACAGGATGTGTTATTGTATTATTTCACTAAAGGTTTTATGAAATTCAATCTTTTATCATTATATCTTTCGAAGAGATGTTGACCCAATTTCTCCCCATTGATTCTTTTCGGGATTTTGTTTTTGTTCAAACAAGTTTGTCAAGTATGTTCTACATTGTATCTATGTTTTATTTAAGACTCTGTGTTCAATTTTCAGTCACGGCGGATATTTTGGTCGATTGACACATATATGTCCTATGACAGCAAAAATAATATATGGATAAATGAATAACTGAATTTTGCATTAAAAAGTAAAAAAAAAATTGTCACGTTGAGAATATATAAGAAGACGGGATTAAGTTTATAAAATTAAAGCTTCAAGTGAAATAGGTTAATTATACTTACAGGATTATGGTTTTCAGTGAATTTTTAATTGAACAATTATAATATTGTAAAAAAACTTCAGTTATATGACTTTGTGATAAAGCAATAAGCGCGTTTACAATATTTTATTTGGAGATCATGACACCCAGTTTGAATTCTTGTTTTTTTATATATTTGAAAAGAACACGTTGAATGGGAATTTTCAAAATGTAATAATGACATGGCGAGTTAGAAATTTGTGAAGATAAAAATCTTTTGACATACTATTGATAATGTATGCAAATAAAGTCACGGTACGTGACAAATAATGGAAGGTAGAATTAAAATGGAAGACCTGAAAGTTTTAAAGCAAGCGAAAATAAAACATAAATACAATTCTCCTTAATAGATAATACAGATAATTGAGAGAAAGCGAAAGGAGGAAAATGTTTCTATTTAGTTATGAGTGTATTCATCTCTCGATCGATCGATCGAAAAAAGGGATTGTTTCATAATTTCTGTATATCTTTGCCTGATACATAATAGTTTGACTTCTAAATTTTAAATATTTTGGTTATTCTCTTGGCAGTGGTAAATCTCGGATTTTGAACGAGGGGTACTTGATAAATCATCAGTGATACTCATTCGTCGGAATTTCAAAGCAGGAATTATACATACCCTTCGTTTGTCGACATCTGTAAACAAAATTAGTTCTTACATAAAATACAAAATGTATGATACCAGTAATGCGAGTATTTTGGTGGAAGGTTGAAAGGACAAGGTACGATAAGGGGCATTTTTGGCCCCCTCTTCAAATATGTTTATATTCATATTATTGATAGCCTTTGAATAGAAACTTGAAAAAATAATGATCTTTTTTATGTTCCGGTGAATGGATGGTTGCCTAGCAACGGATTCATAAAATAGCTATTTTATCACTTGTAAATGGCTTAAACTGTGCAAATTAACACAATTCCTTACTGAATTGATTGTGCAAGTATAACTTGAAGATAAGAATGAAAAGTCACTTTAATTTCAGTTTACTAAATGCTTAGCAACAACCTAGCAACGACCTAGCAACACAATTATCGCATAGCAACGGTTCATATTTTTTTTTATTTTTGCCATCTGAGGTATACATACAGCAAATGTTTGAAGATTAAGCTTCCATAAATGATTTTTCAGTCTTGCATGATATTGTCGTTATCATTTTTCTTTTATGAAGTTCGTATTGAGCTTAGCAACACAAATGTTGACGAGCAACAACCAAATATAATTAAATTAAAGACAACTACAAAAATGAATGTTTTTGTTATTTTATTGCACAGTTAAGAATAAAAGCAAACAAGAGTGGTGTATGATGATAATAACTATCAGTGAGAAATGAAAGCAATTCATATTTTAGTTGTTCATGTTTCTCAACTGCTTAGCAACAAAATTAGTGCTTAGCAACGGTTGAATAAGGGGCTTTTTATTATCTCAATTTTGAATTTTGCAATTTAGAAAATATAAAATTTGTCATATTTTGATTACTGCTTTTTTTTTACAAAGTTAAACAAGCATAACAACACATATGGTGCTTAGCAACTGCCAACATGTTTAAATTAAAGACAATTACAAATGACATTACTCGAAAAAATAGATTGCATGAATACAAATCCGATTGTCCGATCTGTGTAAAAAAAAACTAACAGAAGCATACAGTACAATTATTGTAGTAAGCTTAGTAGTTATCAACAACTTAGCAAGGGAACTAGTGACAAGGAGCGGTTCTAATGGGCTTTCTTTTATTTGAAATATGAATTTTAATTAAAAGTGTTAATTTTGTTTACTTCCGATTTCATTCATACAATGGTACATAAAAGCATTGGTATTTATCTATGTCATGAACATTCTCATACATTCACTTTCATATAAACTTTTAATATTCCATCCAATAGAATTAGTGATGTTTTTTCTTAACATTAACAACTTCAACAATTTATTATGTTGCAAAGGAAAGCTTTTAAATGGCACTCATGGTGGTACAATTTACACAATGAATACATTAGCAGATGTAAAAAACACAAAGCGTTTAAAAATACTATTGAACATTCCATATTTGATACGCTAGTTTTCTGTTTGTGTGTTAGAAATAAGTGTTACTTGTAACATGTAATTGTTTATAAAGTGTTAATCTTCATTGTGAATGTCAGTTTACATATGAATCAGTAACTTCAAGTAATTTTTAAAAATACTGACCGTTAAACTAATTTAAATATTCAGGGAAACTCATACTTATTCATTATGTATAATGTAGTTAGATAAGATATTAAAAAAAACAGTCGACATATGGAAAGAATATCAATAAATGTGTTATAACTTGACAGAACAAACAACAACCGAGTCACTCTTCCTCAATAACATTGTCACTGTCAGAACCAGAATCTGTTTCCAAAGTAATATCTTTAGCATTTAGGATATGTTCAGTATATCTACAAGTACCAATTGTTTCTAATTGCCAACGACTATGTCCAAGGTACCATATCGTTGATGCGATGTGGGCACAGCATCCGACTACACGGGCACGAACTTTACACGTACAGTACCAACCTGTAATGTCATCATTGCTGTACTCAATCCATAGACTAGGCTTTCGATGACGAGTGTCTTGATGATAACTTAACACGGAGTAAGTTTGGTCGGTCCTCGCATATTTGAAGTGTGTAATTGTCATCGTTTATGTGACTCTCCGTATACCTTGGAGCAAGCTTCAGCTGATACACACCCATGGTAATGTCTCTGATTTCTTGTAAGGTCAACTTTGGAAAGTCTAACAGTTATCAATATCATTTACTACGGTATACACCGCTTTCTTTCGAATTAGATTGTTATCTTCCACAATTTGTTGAACATGATTGACTTGTCTTGATCTTTGAAGCATTTGTTCACCGATCTCGTCATTTCCAAAATCTTTTATCAAGGGAGCACGAAAACATTTGATGAGGGCACTCACTATCCTTACAAAATCTCCAATGTGTGGTACATAATGGTTAGAAATTACCTTATTGAAAAAACGCCATTGCTTGATACGGCCATTCGCGCTTTCTACCACCCACCTTACTTTAGTTATCAGCCGAGATGCGTTTGCCTCCTCTGTGGGGTGTTTTTTCATTCATTTCTTTATATAAAACGACATCTCTACCTTTAAATTCATATTTTCTAAGAATTTTGAGCGTCTCTGAATGCTCTATCCACCACAAGAACATCATTCTCCTGAACCCAATTTTTAATGTCCTCAGCATTTGTCTCAAATAAATGTTTTGTAATTGAAGCATCATTATTATGATAATCAGCAAAGTAAGGACCCATGACATTCAAGATGTACCATCTGCTGCAACAATTAACATAGGTTTGACTAAAGGTCTTCCTTTATGCATGCTATATGTCATCTTTTGAAATTGGTGAAACGAGCTTTTTTATACAAGTAAGTACCATCTAGAACAAGGATAGCTGTATCAATGTTGTCATTTGCAAATAAGGTTTTGGCTGTTGGTGTTGTATGCTTTTGAGAAAGTTCTTGATGAGTAATGTGATTAAAGCATAAAAAAGAGGGCACGAAGCTCTGCATCAATGATTCTCTTGTTGAATGAACAGCTCGTCGTATTTGGTGAGATTTTAAGGAAAAGAGAGTGCTTAAAATAGAATTTGATAAGCCTGCATGTGCGAAGCTTTACGAGAAGAATAGCAAGACATGTTCTTACTGAACGCACCTCAGAGTTTCGTAGGTCCTTTACGTGCAAAGCGACTGCATCAAATTGTTCTCGTGTTAGACCAGTCAAATTAAAGTAGTCATCATCTGAAAGTGAGGACGAAATATCAAAATTAAGCTTGCCAGTATCTTTTATGACTGTTCGAGTTCTTTCCAACAGCTCTGATATGTCCGTACGTTTAAAAAATGATGATGAAGAGGATTTTTGTACAGTTTTCAATGCATTTTGTTTAAAATATTTGCCAATAAGATGGTCCGGACAACATCTGCTATTTGTTGATATAAAAATGCCCTTATCAATGAGCACCTGAGTTGCTGCTTCTTTTGGAACAACCACTAGTCGATGTTTCATAGTGTTTTCCTTCTTGCAGATAATACACCTCCGATGAGATTTCGATGTAGATGAAATGCTGAGTTGAATTGTTTTTGGGCTAATAACTTCAGCAGGACCCGGCAATCCC